ATGAAAAGATCTTTACTGCAGATACTACTATGGCTCTGCAGATTTTTTCTTTTCTTTTAAACTATGTCGCCTCAGCTTGAGGTTGGTAAATCTGTCTATCACATTTTGGTGGTCAAGTCTCTCAAGCATCTTTCTCAACTGACATCACAGCCAGGTGCTGGAGTCTGCTTTGACCCATGGTCCTTCTCAGCCAGGTATGGAGCTGACTCAAGACACTAAAAGACCTTTCACAGCTACAGCTGCTAACTGGGTTTGTTAGGGCAACCTGAATAACAGTTTTCAGTGTGGGGAAGATCCGATTATCCAGAAGATGAACTCCGCTGCGTCTCAGCCACTATCGCTCTGGCAGCAACAGCGCTAGAACCAGAGCAGAGGGGGGAGGGGTTATCTATACTTTTGTTGTTAAAGTGTTCCATCTCAATTAAGTACTGTATGCTTTTTATATTTTTAGCAGTGTGTCACACAAACAGCAAATATTGTCAAAAAAGTAAGATATCTTTGGGGGTGCTTTGATTCTTTTTGGGCTAAAATCACCCCTGCTCACACCTCTGATGAAGTCTCACAAGCGTCAGCTTTGTTTTTACACATAGATATAAAAATATGGATATGTACTGATAAATGATCAGAATTATAATATTTCTGCCCATCTGAGTTAAAGTTGAATCGAATCGGATTGAATTGAATCGGGACCTTGTGAATCGGAATTGAATCAATTACAGAAATCAAAATCAATACCTAGCCCTATTCTGGCTTCCTCGCACAGTCCAGAGATGTACTTATTGATACAACTAGTGATTCTAATTTGGCTGCGGATTTGAGGTGCTGTATGAGTGGTTTAAATGTGACTGATTATGCTGCCTTAATGACAGTAAACAGTGGATGTCTTTAAAAAAACATTTAATCAAATGAAAAAAAACAAGAGCCCCAGGTGGTGAATGGATGCTTCCCGACGTTCCTTATACTCGCGATCAGTGAAGAATATGTTATCATAACTTTCTTACCTTAATAATTTAGATCATTTATGCATTTTTCCCCTCTAATGAATCATTACTATTTTACTAAGTCATTTTAGATTCTGCAATAACTTACTTTTGGTATTTTAGAGAAAACTGGTCTCACTTTGCGTTGAGGCTCTTATTTTATTCACCTTTCAAACTTTGTAAACAGGTCTCTTTTTATTCAATTTGAAATTTTTAAAAATGGAAACCTACCTTCTTTTTTTAAATTATTTGATATTGGATAAATATCAGATTATCTGAGTGAGCTACACAACCTTTACCAGGTCACACCCAGAAAGGACACTGCTGTCGGGTAAAATTCAGGGGTAGGAACTTTCTGTTGGGGGATGTGTGTTGCAAGGGGGAACAAAACAAAGTCCGGACTGAGGGGCACGCTGCTGTTTTGGTCATGTGCTAGTCGTAAAGTTTTTATCGTCCTCATGGAAGAATCGTCCCTTGTGCCTTAACTTTTTGTGGTGTCGTGGGGAGTTTGAGTGTCCGCATTTGGAAAAATGCAGGATCATAATTATTATTTCTCAGGAGAAAAGATCAAGGATGTGCTGTCGAACGAAGAGGAAAAACTGGAAGAAACGAAAGTGTTCTTAGGCGTCGCCTTCTCCAGGTGGACCTCGCTGAAGAGGGACAAAAGTTTTCAGAGTGATGCCGAAGTGGCCTGCTTTCTGCTGGACAGGTAATTCAAGTTGTGCCCGAAAGCGACGCGTGAATCGGTGTTACTGTTAGAAAAATTACGAAGTGAGACACAGCGTAACAATTGCGTTTATTTGCATGCGAGGAAGCAGTGTTAACGTCCCTTCGAGGCTCTTTATCTTTCCAATGCTGTGCTGGGAACAGAAACGTGTGAGACGGTTTTACAGGAAACATAGTTAGCTACGTGGTGTACTAGTACAGGGGTACTCAACCAGGATTTCGAGGTCAAGCAACATAGAACTATACGTACACACATTATAACCATTGAAACATGATAACTGTGCACGTTCAAGTGACGGCTGTGAACAGTTTTAGGGGCTCATTTTCTTCCGCTCCTTTAATCAACTCCCCCACTTGTTTGCTCGTTAAGATAATTGAGCTCCAGCTTGTCCTTCCAGAATTTTTTTTTAACCCGGGTTTACATGTGGAGGTGCCCATTCATGAGCTGGGATGACATTTAGCTTTGAGCATGTTCACTGTGGAGAAAATTGCATGGCTTTTTTGTGTGGAGGCATTGCTCTATTTTCAATGGCCACTTTTCTTTTTGCACAAAACATTTGTTCTTTATTTTTTCTCCGTTTTTCACAGCTTTCTCCGGCGCACTCGTCTGTATCGGTCCCTTTCATTTTCTACACGTATCGCTTTCTTCCTGCCGTCTTCTCTAATCTAATCGCTTAAGCCCCTTTTTCTACAACCCAGTAATGGCGGCTTTATTTTTCTTGAACGAGACGCTCGCATTACTCATCTAGTGGGTAGGGTTACTGACCAGCCAATCGGTGGCATGCAGTCGGATGACGTCACATTTCAGTACCTGTTCAGATCGCTTGGAACGCTGTCACTACCCGATCCGTACCGGAAACCCGATC